TCGATTCTCAAGTTTATATTAAATTTAATAGGTGAGGTATACCCCACCATCATTTTTAATAGTGTTCTGAATCTCATGCGATTCTGTTCAATTCTATTCGATTCCAATTTTCGGAACCATAGTAATGATATAATTTTAGGAAGCTTAAATTAGCCATAACCTTAAAAAAGCTTATTGATTACAAATAGTCTATCGGAGCTTAAGGGTGATCGCATGGCATAATTGTAGCTTAGCAAGGGTACACAAAATAAGATAAAAAGGAAAAACTGAAAAAAGGATAGAGAGTCACGTAGCATGCAGTATGAATAATAAGAAAAACTGTTTCCTAAATTAAAACCTTTTTAATTAGAACATGTGTTCATCGTTGCCAAACCAAGTAAAAACTAATTAACTTACCTAATCCAGTACTTGTCGCGAGATAGGATGGCTAAGACCACAAAGGGAAAAGTGGTAAAGATTCGTCAAGAGAAGTGAACAACGGAAAGAAAAGGAAAGTGTTAATAGAACTTGGCTAAACAACTCATATGCCTCAAGTTGAGAAGTCAAACACTTACCAGACATTACACGAGAAGTGCTTAGGAGAAGCGACAGACTTGTCGAGAGAGACGTCAACAATAGAAATCTTTTTTCTTTTTTGAGAAATAACCTCCTAAAATTCTCTTAAAAGAATTGAACCCTAATTTTGTGATATAACCTCTGGAGCACTAACCACTGTATTATAGATCTAGAGGTTAAAAAAAATAATAATAATATTTAAAATATAAATGAAATACAAAATTCAATAACTTTATAAACTTTATATTTATAAATACTAATAAATTTTTGACACATTAGTTTTTAATTTTTTTTTTCAAAATTTAGATTTAGAAATAAATCAAATAACCAAAGTCGATATTTTAAAAAAATCCTAATATAACCTTATATACAATAAAATTAAAGTTATAATATAATTATATATACAATATATATAAAAACTTAAATTAAATAAAGTATATAAGGCATGGTTCAACTAGTGTTTTTTTTTAAAAAATAAATAATTAATTAATTAAGTTACAATATAATTGTTTTTAGGAATTTTAAAAATTAATTTAATTTATATTATATATATATAATATAATATATTTTAAAAAAAATTGACTTAAATGTTTATTAGAATATAATTGATTAAAAAATTTATAAATTATTATAAAAATTTTGATTATTATTTAAAATTTAAATAAACTTTTAAAATAAATATATTAGTTTTTTTAAAAAACTTTATAAAAAAAAGATTTTTACAAATTATATGTTTTAAATATTTTTAATTTTAATTATAAAAGAACTAACCATTATTATAAAATATTATAGATTGTAAAAAAAATATTGTTAACAGATGTATTGTATTAATATTAGTTAATCTTATTTTGATTTTGTTTATAATACCATTTTTTAAATAGACTTAATATCATTAAAGTTATAATATTCAATTTCTTAAAATTAATTGAAAGAAATAAAATATAAAATTTGAATAAAGTAAAGTTATCTTTTATTATTATTTTTTTTTTCTGAGTGAAAGATACTTTGTGCATATGCATTTTTTTATTAAGTAGTTTATATCCAATTACATATACACTCAGGTCTATTTAAGTTAACCTTGTTTTATACCTATAGACTTATCCAGTGTACCAATTGACACTATGGAGTGGATTCACACCTTGGGTAGAATCTTTAGAGGATAGAAATCCTACTATTAGTTTTAAACTATCTAACCTAATCTAGATCCTGTCTCGACTATATCTGTCATGGGAAAGGTGCCATATTACTTTTCAGGTGTATGATTAGAGAACACTCAAATATCCCTGTATATATTTTTTTGCCCAGAACCTCGAAGAAGGTAATCACTCTTTGTCATCACTTGCAGTTTCCAATTATATTGCAAATATAACTTTCTTTTAAGCAAGCACCGGATTGGGATAGCCCCAGGTTAATGTATTCTTGTGTGATGGAGTCTACCGTCGCCAGTTTGGGTTGGAGTTTTTGTGGACTTATACCAGAGTTAAACCAGAAGTCTTTCCTCATGCAACCTTCCTTGCTTCAACCTGTTTCAACCCGCAATTGTCAGGAAAACCAGAGGTTCCATCTTCATACAGCCTAACTAAATTTGGAGATTAATTGTCAACTAATTGGATATGACATGAATTGGAAGCTGGTCAATCAATCATGAAGGTGATAAATTTTTATAACCAGGTGGGTTTAAACCCTAGACCTTCTCCTGGTAACCTATGGAGCATTACCACTGTGCTATAGACCCATAGGTCATAAAGTTGTCTTTTATTTTATTGTAAAGTGTTGATTGTTTTATAATAAAATTGTTAAAATAAAATTTGAAATTGTAAATATTTTATAAGAAATATTTACAGAATATTGTCTCTAAATTAGTATTGTAAAAAAGATAAGACATGTTTTGTTTTGATTTAAATCTGGGAAACAATCTCAACATCTGCTGAAATTTTTAATAAAATAAATCAAGTAATATTAAAATATTAGTTTTTTAACAAAAAAATAAGAGTTTTAAATACACAATATAATCAAAAGCCTTAAACCTAAAAAAATTCTTGAAATATGATGATACTGTCAAATAAATAATTGAATCTAAAAAAAGTTTTCCAAAAGAAGAATATATAAAACTAATAGAAACCAAATAATTAATATACGATAGTGTTAAACACAATAATAGGTTCAATAGTAGTCGATTCTTGATTATCGCGTTCGCATAACTGTTATATTTGAAATTTTTTTTTTTGTTATTTTCAACAATAAAACGCAAACTAAAAGGTCTTTTTGATTACTACATACAATCAGCACGTTATCAAGTATTCTTTCCTCTCAGATGTAATAATAAAATGTTTATCTAGCCGTCGATAAAGTGACTTTGATAACCTTCTGTATAAGATGGTAACTTTTAATTTTTTGATTAAAAAAAATTTGTGTCATGATATTTTACTCATTAAATATGCGAATTACATATTACAATGCGCAGTTATTATGGACATGATTCTTAACGAAGTTGAATTATGAATAGCAGCTACATGATAACCGGTAATGTGTCGTATTCCATCTAAACATCGAGAACGCGTCATTTTAAACCTTCCATTTAAAACAGATTGTCTTGTCATCTAGGAAACGTTGATACTTTCTACCAGAATAGATAGATTTGACACAATATTCTAGTACATCAATATGTCTACAAGAAAAAAATCCTTAAACTTGTAAACATTGGATAAAGATACATTTTCTTTTCATTTTTATACACAATATTATTAATAGTTCTAGATTATGCATATATAGGCCTGACTTTTCACCATAACCCTTTCAGACACTGAAATCCTCCCAAAATCTCCACCTTTTATCCTTACCCTTGACTTCCTCCAATATTCCAATGGTATTTTTTAGCATCTCGCTGATATTATTAAATGCCTGAATCTTAGGAATCGACTCTACAATTTCATGGGAATCTTTTATATCGGATATCTCAACGTCCAATTCTTTTGATAGGGCTATTAATCCTCTCTAAAAAAGTTTTTACTTTTATGAATGATAATAAATTGATATTTTGACAAAATAAATCTAAAGGAAATAAACGACCTTTTCTTCGACTATAAGTGGCACCCTTTTCCGAATATGTTCGCTCATGTGATACATCCCCAGTGAGGAATCATTATACAATTGACGCATAAATAATTCCATGTCTGCACTTGCTAAATAGAATGAAAAGGGTTATCCTGAGAACACCTTATTTTCCTAAAACTTTTATCCTGAATGATATCTGTGATTGAGATGCCACTTAAATAGCTAACCTTTCTTAACCTTCTCCTTTAATAACGTCTCCTGAGTCACCGGATCCAAATTAGGGACGCTATTCATCCCGAAGAGGCTTAAACCCGAAGTAGAAGCCCTCTTGGAGTTTGAAAAAAGGTGATCAAAAGAAGTCATCGAACTAAATGATGACGGTGCCCAATATAAGTTGGGTGAAGTTTGATCGGATAAAATGGATGAAAAGGAATTTATGGATCTTGCATATTCATTTTTTTTGCGTATTGGTATAGCGTCACTGGAAGTATATGTAATGGCGCTGTTACCAGTACTATTTGTAACTACGCTACTGTCGGAGTTGTTAGGGGCGCTATTATAATTTACAACCAATTTATTATTTTCATCTGGAAATAATTCATCGTTTTGTTTGGAGCCCATATTAAGTGAGCGAAAAGAAATTAAAAGAAATTTTTGATTGGCTTTTTGTCACAAGACAAATTAATGTAATCTAATGATCACCCGAATCATAATATCGATAGCGGTCTTACATAAGCAGTAATATGTACTGTAATCCAAAATGATAAATTCATCTACAAACACACTCTCATCTAACTTTTATTACTACTTCTCAATTTTTTTCTTTCTTTTTTCTGCGAAAGGCTTTATTGAAAGGATGATAATTCCAAAGTCACAAGGCAAGCTGATATACCGTGATGCACGAAAAGCCATGTGGGGTGACTTGTTTCCGCATCAACCAAAGAAACCAGCCGAACGTAGAGTTACTAGTAATGAAGCTAGTAAAGGG